GAGGTAGAGGTAGAATTCTTCTCAAAGTTTATTGAGTGCCGGGCTACTCTGCAAGGGTGCATAAAGTTTCTGGTTTTGGGAAACTGCTTCTGGGGAATGTCCTCACATAGGATCTTCTGAGTTCTGGTTTCAGAAAAATGTCCTGACATAGAATTTCTGAGTTCTGGTTTCAGAAGATGTCCTGGCAGAGGGATTTCTGAGTTGAGCTTCAATCTCCATTTTTATGTGTAGCCTAACAGCGTATTGAGTACGTATGGAGAAAGGATACAGCCCTGACACCTTCTTTTTCTGATTTTAAACCGTGCACTCTCCTTGTTCTGTTGTAACATCTGCTTATTTATCTATGTGCAAGTTCAACGTGAACCCAGTTAATTTCCATTTTCAATTTTACTCACAATTTTTATGGCATTTGCATATAATATATGTGCACAGACTTATAGCTGCATTAACACGCATTGAATATGTACATGTATCACACATAGACCTTTGCGTGTGTTCGAAGGTGATGGCATTATGGGAAATGATCAGTGTGGACACCGAGGAGGGCCCTGGCAAGCTATATTGATGGAGAGTGTGCTTCACAGAGAAAAGACAAGCCATGCAGAACCATGGGATGATGGGTAGCCTTGCTGATGTCCAGGATAGGAGCATTTCAAGCAGGGAGACCAGCCAGATAAGAGACCCAGAGAGACAGAGTAAGCTAGGCATGTCCTGAGTGCTTGAGCAAAGGGGGACCAAGGGTTTAAGTCGTGGGTGGGGAGGAATGTCAAAGGGACAGAGATTTTTAGCTTCTTAGGTAAAAATATTTTCTTTCAGTATAAGTATCCTGGGGAATCACCGTATCTACCACCATTATTGTAATCAATGTTTCAAAAGAATAAATAAAAAATAAAGTAAACCATTAAATCATATTTTGGGGGGGTGTCTTGACCTGCAGGTTAAAGAATTGCCTCTTCACGCATGAAAGCTGTGAGAGCATTTCAGCTGTTCTCATTAGCAACCAAAAGCTAAGGACCCTGGACTTGGGGAACAACGCAATACTAGATGCTGGCGTTCAACAGTTATGTGCCGCTTTGAAGCATCCTAACTGTCGATTACAAAATCTTGGGTAAGTATGCACCGATATTCTTGATGTGGAGAACGTGCACACAATTTATATCTGTGTATGCTCATATTGTGTGCGTGTATGTTGATGCCAAGTCCATCCAAACTCATGAAAATCTCACCTATCACAGAGTAGAACCACCCCAAAGGGTTTTCTCGACTGTAATCTTGATGAAAGCAGATCACCAAAGCTCTTTTGCATTAGTTAAATATAAGTAGATCTAAAAACAAGATCTGCACAGGGCACGCTGACATTTAAATTACTGTCTCACTGTACCTGGATTTATTAACATGAACGTTGTTGACATTTCTTTTAAATTGAGATTTTAATGAAAGTTCATAGAGAACTTGGGTTTCTGTTCAGTCATTGTTGCACATTCTCCTCCAACACTGTGGACATTTGAGATCAAGCAGCCTTTTGGGGGGGGGTGGTGTTTCTTTGAGTTCTATTTGACACTCAATCCCCCCTCCACATTATGTCAGCAGCACCTTCCCTATGTGTGATGGATATTTCAAGATATTATCACATGTCCCTAAAGGGAACAACACGGCCTCACTGAAAACGACTGGATTAGATGGAATCCTTCTGTTGAAGGCACAGGCTTGGTGTATTCACCGTTTAGCCTTCCAGCCTGCCCACGCCCGGGGCCTTTCCTCTTCTGCGTTTCCCCTCACAGCCTGGATATGTGCAAGCTCAGCCCCACCTGCTGTGACGCCCTGGCCTCTGCACTCGTCAGCTGCAGAACCCTGAAGAGTCTGAGCCTGGACGGCATCACCTTGGACTACCTTGGAGTGCTGGTGCTGTGCGTGGCCCTGGGCCACCCGGATTGTGCCCTCCACACTCTCGGGTGAGTGGCCATGGCCCCCTGTGGTCGTGTACGTCCTCACGTCAAATGCCCTAGCTCCAAACACCACGTATATTCTGTTGTTGTTATTAGTTGCCATCAGCTTGACTCTGCTCATGGTGCTTCTGTGCGCTAACCGAGCTGGGTTACCACATCTGCCTTCTGACACAGCGCTGGGGGGGGGGGTTGGAATGACCAGTCTTCTGCAGAGCTGACAAGCACAGAGCCGTTTGTGTGTGGTGTTGTTATTGTTGGTGCTGTCGAGTCAGCTATGACTTGCAGCCAGTCTATCAGTGATGGCTACGAACCACACCGTAGCCCGTGCCATCCTCATCACCGCGGATATGCTGGTGCCCACTACTGCAGTCACTGTGCCAATCCGTCTCAGTGGGGCTCTTCCTCTCTCTCACTGACCCCTCCCCTCTTTCCAAGCATGGTGGCCTTGTCTAAGGCCTGACCGCACCTGACAACATGACCAAAGTAGGTAAGGCGAAGCTTCACCATCCTGGCCTCCACGGAGAACCCTGGTCATACCTTCCCCAGGATATAGTTACATGTTCTCTTGGCAGTCCAAGAGATAGTCAGTACTCTTTTTCAGCACCACAACACAAGGACATCTATTCTGTGTAAGCCTTCATCATTGTGCAGCTTTCAGATGCCTACCAAGTAATTGAAAAGAACATGACTTGAATCAGATGTTGTTGTTATGTGCCATCGAGCTACCTGCGACTCAGAGTGACCCTGTGTACAACAACCCTAAACCCTGCTCTGTCCTGTGCCAATCTCACTGTCTCTGATAATCCCACCCCAATTACCCCAGTCACTGAATCAATCCACCTCATTGAGAGTCTTCCTCTCCTGCGCCATCCCTCCACCCTCCCAAGCATGACTTCCCTCTCCAAGGACTGGTCTCTCCTCACAACATGTCCAAAGTATGCCAGATGAAGCTTCAGAATACTTGCCTCCAAGGAGCAGCCTGGCTTCGCCCTCTCCAGGATGAACTTGTTTGTTCTCCTAGTAGTCCATGGTACATGCAACAGTCTTCTCCAGCACCACAGCTCAAAGGCATCAATTCTCCTTCTATCATCCCTAGTCCAGCTCTCTGACACATAGTGAGTAATTTGCAAAGACTGGGGCCCGGATCAGGTGCACCTTAGTCTCCAGAATGACATCGTTGCTCCTCAGTACCTTAGTGAGGTCTCTGACAGGAAGTCTTTTTATAGGGTTGCTCAACCTTGACCCTATTAACACTAGGGCTGGCTCATCCTTTGTCTCATGGGGCTGCCTGGACACTGCAGGGCGGTGAGCGGTCTGCCTGGCCTCTATCCGTTACAGTCAGCATACCCTCTTGTCAAAAAAAGCCCAAGTGAGAGTCACTGCTCTGTTAAAACCACTGGCGTCCAGGGGCGGTGTACACAGTTGCTAACAGAAAGGGGGGATGTTTTGAATCTTTGGAAGAAAGACTTGAAGAAAAGATCCGGTGATCCACTTAAAAAGAACCAGCCAACAACAGACCTTTGGACCCCGGCTCTGCTCTACACACATGGCGGTGACACAAGTCTGGAGTCAACTGGACCATGACACACTGTGATGAGTGCCATTTCTCATTACTCATGGAAATGCAAGCACATTGGCAAAGGAGGGGCAACAAATGGTGAATGTATAAAAGGGCCTGGCAGTGTCTTGGCACAGAAATACCTTCACCGAAGGGAAATCTTGTTGCTATTGTTGTGAACAGCACAAATGCACTTAGAGGTAAAGGTCTGGCACCTGAATGATGAATATTTGAACACTGTTATTGTTGTTAGATGCTGTCAAGTGGTGTACGATCCATAATGACAACAGATCTGAACCCTGTCCTGTCCCCTGCCATCGTCACACTTCCTGACACACGAGAGGCCGTTGCCGCAGTCACCGTGTCAGTCCACCTCAGTGAGGGTCTTCTTCTCCTTCGCTGACCCCCCACCATTCCAAGCATCATGTCTTTCGCCAAGGAATAGCCCCTCCTATTAACATGTCTAAAATATGTGAGATGAAATCTCATCGTCTTTGCCTCCAAAGAGCACTCTGGTTACACACCCTTTTCAAGACATAGTTGTTTTCTTCTTTTGGCCGTCCATGGGATGTTCAGTGCTCTTCTCCAAAACACAGCTCAAAGGCATCACTTCTCCTGTCATTCTTATTCACTGTCCAGCTCTCAACAACAACAACAACAATAGCTCTCATCTTAACAAGTGATCAGGAAGACTATGACCTGAATCAGACACACCTTAGTCCTCAAACGGACTTCATTACTTCCCAATAATTAGGAGAAGTCCCTAACTGAAGGCTTTCCCAGTGCAGTGTTTCTCCTTATTCCTGACTGCTGGTACCAAGGGTGTTAACTGTGGATCCAAGAGAGATGAAGTTGACAGTTTCCAATCTTTTCTCCATCCGTCATGATGTTGCCTATCGGTCCAGTGCTAAGAATCTTTGTTTTCTTGACATTGAAATGCAATCCATATTGAAGGCTGTATTCTTTGGTCTTCTGCAACAAGTGCTTCAATCCTTTTCACTTTCATCAAGCATGGTCGTGTCATCTGCATAACGCAGTTTATTGATGCATCTGCCTCCAATCCTGATGCCACATTCCTCTTTATGGGATCCAGCTTCTTGAATAATTTGCTCAGCATACAGATTGAAGAGGTATGTAAAGAGATTACAACCCCGACACACTCCCTTCTTAATTTTAAACCTTGTAATAATATTCCCTCACTCTGTTTACACAACAGCTTCCTGGCCTAGGTATAGGTTTCTCATGAACACAATTCAGTGCTCTGGGATTCCCATTACTTTCAATATTAGCCATAACTTGTTATGATTCGCAGAGCCAAGTGCCTTTGCATTGTCAATAAAGTATAAATAGATAGTCTTCCCATATTCTTTACTTTCAGCCAGGATCCATCTGGCATCAAAATGATATCCCTGGTGTGACGGCCTCTTCTAAATCCTGCTTGAACTTCTGGCAGTTCCCTATCTATGTATTGTTCTAGCAATTTTTTAATGATATTCAGTAGTATTTTACTTATATGTGATATTAATAATATTGCTTGATACTTTACACATTCCGTTTGCTCACTCTTTTTGGGAATGGGAATAAAGATGGATGGACCTCTTCCAATCCATTGGCCTGACATCTGTCCACCAAATTTCCTGGCATAGACTGATGAGTGCATCCAGGGCTGTATCTGTTAATTGAAGCAAGTCAATTGGTAAGCTTCGATTCCTGGGGCCTTATTTTTTGCCAGTGCCTTCAATGCAGCTTTAACTTCCTCTTTCATTACCATTGGCTCCTGTTTGTACGGTACTTCATGACATTTTTACGTGTCGGTCAGTTCTCTTTGGCATAATGATTCTGTATATTCTCTCCATCTTCTTTTGATGCTTTTGGGGTCATTCAATACATTGCTCATAGCACCTTCAATATTGTGACTCAAGGCTTACTTGTTTTTCAGTTCTCTCAGCTTGAGAAATGCCGAGGAAGCTCTTCCCTTTTTATGCTCCAATTCCAGCTCCGTTATGATACTTTGTCTACTCAAGATGCCCTTTGAAATATTCAACATTTTCACTTTGGCATGTTTTTCCTTTTGTTTTGGCTTTTTGACACTCTAATGCAATTTTAGAGTCTCTTCTGACCTCAGTTTTAGTTTTTTCTTTCTCTGTGTTCATAATGAACTTTTGCTTTCTTCCTTGATGATATCCTTGATATCTTACAACTCATCTTGTCTTTGATCATAGGTGCTCAATGCTTCAAATCTGTTCTTAAGATGATCTTGGAATTCAGATGGAGTAGATTCAAGATAATATTTAGTTTCTTGTGAACTTATTTTCATTTTCTTTGGCCTCAATTTAAACTTGCACATGAGCAATATATAGTCTGACCCACAGTCTACCCTTGGCCTAGTTTTGACTGCCAATTCTGAGCTTTTCTAACAATTCCTTCCACAGATGTAGTCAATCTGATTTATATACAGCCCGTCAGGTGAGAACCCTATGTAAAGTAGCTTTATGTGCCAATTGGATGGATTGTGTCATCTGGATGGATGGTGAAGAGATTGAGATTGTTACAGCTTTAGTTTGCTTGGCTTTGTAGTCCACACGCTTGGCACCAGCAGCCAGGAAATTAAAAGACATATTGCAATAGGAAAGTCTGCTGTTAGGGACCTCTCCAGAGTACTGGCGAGCAATGGTGTCACTCTGGAGAATAAGGTGTGCCTGATCCAGGCCATGGTCTTTGCAGTCACTTGCTATGTGTTAGAGAGCTGGACAATGACTAGGGATGATAGAAGGAGAATTGATGCTTTTGAGCTGTGGTGCCGGAGAAGGGTATTGAATATACACCATGGACTGCTAGGAAAATGAACAGGTTCATCCTGGAGAGGTTTAAACCGGGCTGCTCCTTGGAGGCAAGGATTCTGAAGCTTCATCTGACATACTTTGGACATGTTGTAAGGAGGGACCAGTCCTTGGAGAGGGACATCATGCTTGGGAGGGTGGAGGGACAGCGCAGGAGAGAAAGACCCTCGATGAGATGGATTGACTCAGTGACTGGGGTATTGGGGGTGGGTGTGTCGGAGACAGTGAGGTTGGCACAGGACAGAGCAGGGTTTAGGGCTGTTGTACGTAGGGTCGCTATGAGCCACAGGCAACTCGATGGCACATAACAACAACAACATTTGGAATGAAGAAATCTTTGAAAATACAAAATTCACTCATTCTATTTCCTGCTCTGTGGCCAAGCCCGTGTTCTCCAACTATGTTCTGTCTTCACCGCTTCGAACTTCTGCATTCCTGTCACCAATTCTCATTATCACCTCTTGATTGCATGTTTGGTCAATTTCAGACTGCAAGAGTTTGTGAACATTTTTAGGATCTTCTTCTTTGGTTCTAGATGTAAGAACAGATATTTGAATAAGAGTCGTGTTAATGGGTCTTCCTCGGGTGGGTATGGACAATATCTTATCAGTCACAACATTGTATTTCAGGATAGAACTTGAAATTGTCTATGAATGCAATGCCATTCTTTTGTTTTTCACTCCCAATGTGGTCTTCCTGTTGTGTGTCACTGAGTTTAAACCAACCCATAGCTGACCCTCCAGGGGGTTTTCAGAGGCAGTAATTGCACAGGAAGAGATTGCCTATCCTTCTTCCATAGACTAGCTGGTGGATTTGAACCATGAGCCTTTGGGATTGCAGCACAGATTGCTACCACTAGGCTCCCAGAGCTTCCAAGGTCTCTAGATTGAAATCACTGCTCTTCAGCACTCTGGAGAGGTCCCTGACAGCAGATTTTCTCAGTGTAATTTGTCTTTTAATTTCCTGCCGGATAATGTCACAAGTATTGATGGTGGAGACGAGCAACCTAACATTTTTAACAACCTCAACCTCTTCCCCTTCTATCATGGTGCTGCCAGTTGG